CCCGACCTACGTACAATTGCGGACCTGCGCCTCTTCCGCCGAGCCCTGAAAACTCATCTGTTCCATGTGGCCGGCCTGGCGTAGTTTTGATTGGGTTTTGTTAGGGGTTTTATATTTTAGAGCAGGCTTTTATGTAATATTTACTGTGATTTTTATTATTGCCTGTTCACCGCCCTGAGTCCCGTAAGGGAGATAGGGCGGTATATAAATTTAAATAATAAAATATAATAAATAATAATAAATAAATGCATACCCACCTGCAGACTAACATTGCAGTGCCTAATACCTGGGTGGATGAATAGGGAGGAAGCTTTACTGGATAAAAAGATGGGGGCCTCTTACATGCAAGTTCTACTGGCAAGAGAAGTGGGGGCAAAGAACATTTGTCTCCCACTCTATTCTTCCCATGGGTGCAGGAGTAGCAGTATAGTAGGGACACAAAAAAGGAAAGCTGATCTTTTTGGCGCCAGTTCTCCCAATATTAAAACAATTAGTCTCCTTCCCACCCCAACCACAGAAGTGTTTAGCCACTTGTCCCACTTCTTCTTTCAAAGGGAAAGAGAAATGGGGTGGAGGTAGTCCCAAGAAAACTGGTGCCTCCTCTCTCTCCCATTTCTCCTGCCACCCGTCAGAAAGGAAAAGAGATGAGAAGTAGAGGAACTGATCTCTCCCCCCCTTTTTTTGAATAGCAAAAGATGCAGAGCAAAAGGAAACTTCATACCAGTTTCCATTCCATGGAGCAATGATTCCAAGGAAAAGAAAACTAATAGCAATGTACCCCTTTCTTCTTCTCTTTCCCCTGTAATCTTGCAACCCACTGCCTAAGATGCAGGAAGGGGAGAGAAGCAGACAAGGACCATCCGCCAGAATGATCTCAGGGTGGAGTCAGTAAAACCATGGATCTTCAGCTTCCAATAACTGGCATACAGTGGGGTCAGAAGAGGTATCCCTAGGCTGCAGATACCACTTTTCCAGCAGGCACCTCAGTCTGCGGACATGCATAGGAACTGCCAATTTATGATTTAAAGACTGAATTTATTTACTTATTAGAGTAATACCTGGCACATCTCCAAAACTTTCAGCAGACTTCACTATGGAAACAAAGAATTAAAAATATTATAACAATAATACTAATAAATATTCTTGATATCTACTCAGTAGCTGGAAATATTGAATTTATCAGACCAAACACCATAATTTTACAAAACCCCACCTGCTTGGAACTGCCTATATTCTTAGACACTACAGTAATAATTCTTAGATCCTTGGTTAGGTCTTGCATTATTAAGTTTCCACCAATCTTAGACGGTGAATCTAACTGTAGATTACTCATACATAACAATATTTCCAATATATTTCTATCCAGTTCTACTCAGAGTTATTTGCCATGACCCAGGACTTTTGCCACGTGGGAGAGAACTGCGATCCCTAAAGATCAGCAAATGATAATTGATTTTGTGTCATTACTAGATTATTGTTGACAGCGAGCGGTAATCTCTGCCCGATGACCAGCCTTGGCGGGGAAACAAGTATCTCCAGGCATTTGTGCAAAATTCACTTGTTAGAAAATAAAATCATCATTAAGCCATTCCGGGGGTTGTAAATCCTTAAACACCCAGGCATGTAATAAAAATATTTGGAAATTCCATACAGTTCCAAACAGTCCAGGTATTTCTCATGCTACCTGTGCTAGACTGGTTTCCTAGATATGTCTGATGAATACATATTTACGCAGCTAAATTCTATCTTGCTCCTCCTTGGCGGAGAGAGAAAGATCTCCAGGCATTTGTGCAAAAACCACTCGTTAGAAAATAAAACTATCCCGGGGGTTGTAAAATCCACCCGGCCGGCCGCTCCTCTCATTAACGGTCCTCGCGACCGCTTCATTTCGAATGTCAGCGAGGGAACCCGTCCGTCACGTCACGCAGCCGTCAAGTTCCGCCGCCCCTTACTTTGGATCCACGCGGCGCTCGTAGCCTGGCAACCGGACGGAAGTGGCGTCACATGGAGCCGCTGCATTCAAACTCTCGGAAGCCGCGTTCGAGAGGCCGTCAGTTCGAAGCGGAGCGGTTCTGCCGTTGTTTCCTGCTCGCCGCTCCGGGCCGTCCCGACCCTTCCTTCCGTGGAAGGGAGGGCGCGGTGCTGTCAGTGCCGCCGCCGCGTTTTGCCATCTTAAAGCGCTCTTCTCCGCCAGGCTGTGTCCACCTAGCGCTCCAGAGACTTTGCTGAGGTGTGTATGGGGAAGGCGGGGGGGGGGAAGGGCTCAGGAGCTGCGTTCTCCCGCCCTAGCATGTCGGTCCTCTTGAGCCTTTGTGGAAAGAAAGATCTGCCTTGGAAGCGGGCCTCAGCAGGTGGTGGTCCTTGACCGATGTCTATGGAGTTTCTCAGTCCTCCAGGTCATGGTTGTCCCAAAGGTGCTTTTTCAAGAGGCAACTGGATTTTCTTGTTTTTTTCTTTGAAGGCGTTTCGCTTTTCATCCAAGAAGCTTCTTCAGCTCTGACTGGATGGTGGGGAATGGAAGGATGTATATTCCTTGCAGACAGCTGGTCATTTGCATTCTTTTAGAGAGTTGTTGAAGGGGCTACACCATCATCTATCACTAATCTACAACACAGTCCTTTCAACAGTTCCAAGAAGGCTCCACACCCATTTGCCCTATTCAGGTGACTCAGATAAGCCTCCAACTGGCGTCAGTGACTCTTTAAAAGAATGCAAATGACCAGCTTTTTTCAAAAATTGAAAAAAAAGCACCTTTGGGACAACCATGACTGGATGACTGAGCATCTCTGTAGACATCTCTCTGGCATAGGCCTCCTCCTTGGGATATGATTTAATATGGCTAGCTGAAGACAATTATCACCTGCGTATTGCATTGTGTCTGTTTCCTTTAATTTCCTCATAATGCCCATTTTTAAGGTTTAATGTTCTATTTGGAAAAAAGTTTTGCTATTTTACAAAAATATTCAGAGGGTTTTGAAAGGAATTTTTATTTTTCATAGTACTTATGATGGGGCAGAAGCTGACAAGTTTTTATTTGTCGGTTGTAAAATGCTGTGTTTGTATACATTGAAACTATGAATAAACGGATTAGTTGTAATTGTAATATATATTAGAAAATAATTCCCATAAACTTGTACTATTTGTGGATTTGGAATTAGAGGGATTTTTAAAAAAAAAAATCTTGCAGATGAAGTGGCTGCTTTTTGAATAGTGCCTGATGATTTTTTTGGAGAACCTCAAGTATGACATCAAAGAAGTGGGGATTCAAGTCTGGTGATTCCAAATCTGAATCAGAATTGCAGGTGTACAAGAAAGAAAATGCAGCTCTGAAAAAGTCTTTGGAAGAAATCATTAAGGAGAAAAGCAAAATGACACCCGAAGAAAGGAAGAGGCTTCTGGAGGTGATATAAATTAAAATAATCTAACAAAATAATATTTGTTTTGCATCTAAATTAAAACCTGGATATTAAGTTTGAGACAAAGCATTTTGTAAAGTAAAGGCTTCACATTTCATCTAAATACAAAAGAAACTAATTGATAATGGGAAGCTAATCTTTACTGCAGGGGTGGGGAACAATGGCCCTTTTATGACTTGTGGACTTCAACTCCTAGAATTCCTGAGCCAGTCATTCTACCTTACTGTAATGCAGGCATGTCAAACTGCCGGCCCGTGGGCTGGATGCATCATACTAAAACCGTGCCCACTCCATTGCCGGCAATGGGGAAAAAGTCGCGATACGTCGCGCGATGTCATGTGACGTCACAAGTTTGACATGCCTGCTGTAATGTAATGTCTTACCAGGGGTGATAGATACCCCTGTTTTTCCTTTGTGCCCTATTGTGTAGCCTGTTAGCATTGCTTCTAGATTTCTGCAACTACAACCACATCTGACAATGGGATGGCAAGTTACCTTCCCTAAGACGTGCTAAATGTTTGCTTTATTCATTCATATATTAGTTCCTCTTGTTCTAATGCATATGAAGCACTCAGGACAAGTAGTGTGGCTCTTTCACTGTTGCTTTTGTGACTGTTAACATAAGCATAGTAACTTTTTAAAATGATTTATTTCTTTATATTTCAGAGAAGAAATGTGTGATTTTATGCATTTCTTTCCAAAGGTTTAGCTACCCTTCCTTCTTTTCTCATAAAGTCTGTATATTTGAAAGCCCATATGAATTAGTGTAATTTAAATAGTTGAAGTGTTTTGAATTATTTAAATTCAAATTTAATTGTAAATAGCGAACAATTGATAAAGCATCATCTGAGCTGTTTATGTACATAGAAGTTATTTATATTGTGCATTCTTGTTGAGACTTCTTTTTATGGTTAGTTAAAGTGGTGGAGCCTCTTCTATTTTTGTTTCGCTTTCATATTAACATTAAATCCCCGATTTCATAAGAATTAATTGTAGCTTTTTTTTTTTAGTTCTTTGGAAGGTTTTTGTCTCTGCTTTGGCATACTGAACATAATATTTTGGTAAAATGTAAACAATTTAGTGAGACTATACCTACAATTAAATGGGCAATTTCTAGGCAGAATAGTACAACCATATTCCAAATCCTGTGCCATAAGCTTAATTTTACTATCTTTCCAATAGATTAATATTTGCCAACATGATTATTCAATCAGGCATTTGTAGCTTGGAAACTGACCTTTTTTTCCTGTTAAATGCTTGCTTGTACTTCATATAGAAAATACTTGCCCTTGAAACAGAAACAGAAGAATATAAAAATAAACTTGGAAAGAAAGATCAAGAAATCCAGGTCCTGAAAGATGAGTTAAGGAGTAGAAGCAAAAGTACAGATGCTGCTTCTCTGCGGGGGCAGCTAGAAGAGAAAACAAAAGAAGTGGCTAAGCGGGAACAGCTACTAAATTCACTCTCCGAAGAGGTAGAATGGCAGAAAAATCACATATCTGCAGTTTCTGCAAGATGTACAGATCTTGAAAGCAGAGCCAGTAATGTCCAGATCGCCCAGGTGAGTTTATAAAAAATGTGTGTAATGTTACCTAACCCTTTTCCTCATAGTGCTATTTGGAAGTTATTTGGGACTGAACTCCTTTTGGGTAGCATTTGCCCATTAAGAATGATATATAATCTGGGGGGTCTACCTGAACTCACAGCTCATGCTGAGTAAGGAATGCCTTTGCACAACTTTATTTGGTGTACCCATTATGCCAGGCATGTCAAACACGCGACGTTCCATGACTTTTTCCCCATTGCCAGCAATGGGGTGGGTGCGGTTTCAGCATGGCGCATCTGGCCCGCGGGCTGGCAGTTTGACATGCCTGCATTATGCCCTTTCCTAGATCGGAATGCCCTTCACTTTGTAGCTTGATTACTGCAACACGCTCTACATTGGGCTGCCTTTGAAGACTACCTGGAAACTTCAGCTGGTGTGCCTATGTGATTCATGAGCAAATTCTGGATGTAATTCAACATACGGTTTTTCACCTAAAAGCCATTTGTTGTCATATCAATCTACATGGCTTGATCTGACAGGGTTGATGTACTTCAGGTCAGGGGTACCCAATCCCCAGGCTGTGGCCCATTAATGGGCTGTGGCCTGTTTGAAACCAGGCTGCGGGAGAGATGGGCAAGTGCATGCGTGTGAAGCTCCACTTGCGCAAGTGGAGAGCACTTGCGCTCGCGCGCGAAACTCCATTCACACAAAGGAGCTTTGCACGCGAGCACTGTCCACTCTTATGAGTGGTGCATGAGCACAAGCACCCTCCACTCAAGCGCCCTCATTGCAAATGGAGCATAGTGCGCAAGCACAAAGCACCCTCCATTTCTGAAGCTCCATTTGCACGACTGGAGGGCGCGCCTGACCGCTGCTCTCACAATAGAACTGTGTGAGTGTGAGCATGTGCCTGCCACTCACATGCCAGGCCCCCCTCCATCCCCACGCCAGGCCAGACTGCCAGGCTGGAAAGGTTGGGGACTCCTGCTTTAGGTTCCCTATATCAAGCAATGCTATCTATCATAGCACTGCTTAATATAGGGGAAAAGATATACAGTACAAAGAAATGTGCATTCTCTGGAATGTGCATTACCCTCTGGAATGAGGTTCCCCCGAGATTGGGTGGCTCTTTGCCTAATGATGTTCCAGGGAATCTTGAAGACCTGGCTTGTAGGATGTATGCATGATGCTATTGGCGAAAGTCACCATCCTGTCCATTTTACTTGGATTGCATATTGCTGTTTGCTTTTTATGCTGAGAGCACTCAGAGTCAACAAGTTGGGAAAGCTCTGAACTAAATTAAATAAATATGAAAAAAAATGAGTTGTTGCAACGTAATAATAGGGAAGTGGAACAAGATGGCTTAGTGATTTGCATGCTTGAAAGCTCAAAGTGACAACCACCATTTTCTAATTCACCACCCACAACAGTAATAGGCACGTCGTCACCACAATTGAAATCTTCAGAGCTAAGGTACCGTAGTATGCTATCTGCTTCATGATGCAGTCGTCTGCAGCTATTGCAGTACCAATCTCTGGGAGCGGTTTGGTCAAAATTTCTAAGTGCCCTTCTGTATGTGTCCAGTTAATTCTTTATTATTAGATGTAAGCCTGACTGCATTAAAGCCTAAATTTGACACTGTGTTCTGAGAGGTTGATTCAAACTAATCTTTGAAAGCCCTTTGGTTGCCTTAACTTCACAAGATACTATTCCCTCATGGCTAACTGAAATAAATCAAAGATAAATCAATAACTGATCTCGATTGGCTATGAAAAAGCTCTTCAGAAATAAAACAGCTGATTCTGAACTTAGACTTAAAAAGGACCTAAGTTTTACTGCAAAACCCTGTAACTTAAGCATGTTAGGGAGACCATTCACAGGTGCATACAACACGCCAGCATTTTGTGCTGAACAAAGAGAAGAGCTTTTACATTAGCCAGACTCAGGGTCTTACTTTCAGCTCATCTGGAAGAGAGATACAACCGCACACCTGGGCAAGACTCTTTATGCCTCTGTTTCTTAGAGGAAGTTGAATCAACTGCACATGTCCTTTGTTGCCCGTTTTATTTAAACTGGAGTAATTTTATTCACATCTCCCTTAACAATCAGTCATAGCAAAACAGATATTGTTCTTATTGTTTCCCTCCTATTAGATATTTCAGAAATGATTTTCAGGAGAGCAGCTAAATTAATAAAATAGTAATTGCATGTTCCTTCAGGATAAATTTTACATTTGACATTTCATGATTCTAAAATTTTAATTAACAGTCAGGTACTGCTAATAAATTCATATTTATGTCTGTCTCTACAGTTGTTTGAATTAGTCTAAGATATTACTCACTATGTATTTTGTTGCTTTTGTTTTTAGTAATTTCTATATATTTTGATGCTTTATTTTATTTTTATAATGCTCCATTTTTAATTTGAAATTCTGTTAAAATTGTATTTTGAGTAAGTGTTCATAATAATGAAGTTAACAAATTATTGTCTTTAGCATCCTTAATTTAAACTTACTAGACGGATACAGTGGTCCACACAGAATATTTTAACTTTGAATTATTTTGCTGAGCGAGGTACTAGAATAAATGTCCTAGAATTTCTCCCTGGCCTCTTGTTATTTCTAATGGGAGATCAGGTTTTCATAGCATTTGAGCCATGTGGTGGCTTCTGAGTAAAAGTTAACTCATAATTATCGGTGTAACTAAGTCAACCATAAGGATAGATGAAAAATGGACATAATTTTTATTTCTATTTATACTCCTACTAGATGCTGAAAATTACTTATGTGGACATCACTCTGTTAAAACTCAAGTTGAACAGATTATAAATTTGATTCCACTGACCTGATTAGCTAAGACAGGGGTGTCAAACTGCCGGCGCGCAGACCAGTTGCATCATTCAGAGGCTGCGCTCACGCCAGCTCCAGCAATACAAAAAAAGTTGCAATACGTCACAACACGTCACATGATGCGGCGAGTTTGACACCCGTGAGCTAAGATATTATAGAAAAGGATTACAGAAGTACCACTTATTGAAAGTAGATGGCAGTATAGTATCAATCCTATAGAATTTGAAAATTAAAATACCAAATGCCACAGTGATAAGTCAGGTGCTTGTCCAAATCAGGAAGGATGTTTGTAGATATCGGGTAATTGAAAGATATCAGCTATTATGCAAAACAATAAGCACAGTTAAATTCAAATATATACATGCTGGCTGTATAGGTTTGGGACATATTACTCTCTTATCCTGAAACTATAATATACAAAGTTTTAAAATAATAGATTCTAGTCCAGGTAATCTGTTACATATCCAAATACTTTTAGAATTTCTGTTATCTTTTGCCAAATACATGAAACTTTCCTATTTGTAGGTAGCTCAGTAGATTCTGTTCTGGAATTTATTAAAGTCTCCTTTGTGTAACTCAACTCATAATGTTCACATAAAAAACTGTTGGTGTTGGTACAGAAACAGTTTACCATTGTTCCTTCCTCCCCTCCCATCCCCTCCCTGTCAAGATGTGAGCCATAGGATTTTATGGTGGTCTCCCATCTAAATATAACTAAGTTCCATCCGGTTTAGTATTTTTAAATTTGCCACGCCCTTTTATTTTGCAAAAGGAAATATTTATAGAAATACGATATGTAGAATCTTGAATGTTTCAACAGTTTGAAAAATTACAGAAGCCCAGTGCTTGCAAGGCATAGCGTAGCAGTACCTGCTCCTATCTTCAACACACAGACATCTGCTTTCAGTTAATGGAATTGAACTGTTTCACTATTCACTATTCTATTTCACTATTTTTAACAGGAAAAAGCTGTGCACTGTGCTGGAACGCCAGTCGACATAAATGAAATTGAAATTCAACTGAAAGACGTAAGGCATTTTATCAAATACGTTATATGTTTTATTTAAAGAATAAAATTAAATTACATAAATACAGATAATGTAGAATTATCCTATATTAGCCTGTTTGTAGCTAATTGTCACTAATTGCCAACAAAGAGTATATGGGAATATAGCAGTAATAGGGAGATTAGGATCAAATACAAAATTTCATTTTTCTTAGTAAGCAATCAGATCTGTAGCTTCCCACAATCTTGTGACCATGGGAGTACTGGGAATGGCCAGAATTTGAGGAATAGTTGGAAGTACTATTCACTGTACTTGTAATACCACCCTTGTAACTTTGAATGGTTGCCTAATAAATGATTGTTAACCAAGGACAACTTGCATAAGATTATATTCCCATTTAAAACAGTGTTTTGCATCAGTTCAGATATTGGGTTGAGACAGATTTAAATCTGAGCCCCATTTTTTCATTCAGGGAGGAGGCAGGAATTGAATTTATTTCCATGGACTTCATGAAAGTGAACTAATTCTAAAATGCTATGCAACAAAAGCTAATAACTTGCTGGTTTATGCCATAAACTTTACGCCATAAACTTTATAAGCTCAACATTATACTATACATGAGTCACTATCAGTAAAATTTAAAATACCTTAGTCTGAAAAGGTGCTGTTGGACTCCTTATTTTTTGCTACGTAGGGTAACATAGATCTCCGGTGTCATGAGTAAATTATGCTTTTATCTTCACTGTTTTGGAGTATATCCATTCAGAAAGCAGCACATTACCTCATTCAAACCTCATGCAATAAATAAGTTAAATTGTAATTTCTCCATTCAAATATTTGTGTATTTGTCTGTAGGCAGAACCCTGATCTGATGTGATGTCTCCCCCACTTTATTAACTGCTGTTATAGTTCAGTCACAAAATAGCATCTGGTCAGCAGTTAAGTCTGTGCACCTGACACACATCTGAAGATTTATAATACTTCTCTGCTTTTCTGAATAAAACAAACAAATTGGAGGTATGGCAGGCAACCAATATTTCACTTCCCAACTGGAAAAGAGAGTCAAATCATATTGAAAGTCAAACGTAGGCTTTCTGTTTATGCATTGGTCTCTTTTGCTATGGCACATCCAGTTCCAGTAACGATTAAGAATGGATGATTAAACAAAAATGCAGTGTAGTTTAATCTGCTTTCTTCAAACAAGGCCAGGGACTGAAAGCCTTTGACATTTTTAGATTACATCTGCTGAATATTGCTATCTCGTCCTTATCTCTGTATTCTCATTTAAGAAAAATATAAAGAGGAACGTGGAAACAGTACTCTGAGCTAGGAAGAAAGTGCCTTAAATTCCATTAACAGTAACCTTTATGTCTCATGAAAACTATTCTTAAATTCAAAAACTTCTTTAATATGATGGCTATTTAAAGAATAGCTTTCATTGAGCTATTGAAAGCCTTATGTATGGATTCAAATAAAGTTTAAAAATTAAATTATTGTTTGATCTGCCTGTTATAAGCTTTTTATTTGTAAAGAAATAAGGAATTTCTTGTCAAGATCTTTTAATCTCCTACACATTAATACATATTAAATGCATTGTTTTGTGAAAATTTTATTTCGAACAATGAGCATCCACTTTTTAAAAAAACAAACAATCACTTGTTGATACGATGGTATCATTCTTTATGCATTTATATGGCATCTTTTTGAATGCCATCTTTCACAGGTAACAATAATATATAACACTCAAAATTAAAAGAATACATTAATAAAACAATGTAATTAACATTAATAAAAATAAATAAGATGTTCTTCTTGTATATTGCAGCATAATGTAGTGAAGTAATTTTTGACTCCATTTTAAAGATGTGTGGTTTTCGAATCCATTGCCATAACTTTGAAGGGAACTAATAGATTCCTTGGGAGTTACATTAGGGTAGGTTTGCTGCTGAAAAGGCCTTGCCCCTAATTTTATCATTCTGTTCATTAAAAAAAAATATTTCAGCAATAATCAGCTTCTGGAATGTATGTTTAAAGAAGATTACAGTTCTATACACACTTCCAAGTGTCTTCAGTTGAAAATACATAAGTAGGCATATAATGGAATATTTTTCTGAGATTTTTTATAATCCAAATCATTTGTTTAGTATTGTTAATTAATTGAAAAATTACAAAACAAAATAAGTACCACTTAAACAGCTTTCAAAAACCTCTTAGTAGGGAACTATTCAAAATAGGCATACTTTATAAAAGATGGCATGCATACATTTACGTACCATGTTCTTCCATTGATCTTAAAGAAAAGTAAACTTTAGGCTTCATTTACAGTTCCTTATTTGTATTTTCTTTTTCCTGTATGCTACACCATTCATGCATAGTAACACCTTTTTACACATTGTGTATATTATTTTCACACTCAATAAAGAGGGCTGGACAGAGATCTCTATCTTTGCTCTGAAAATTACTAGTTTTAAACTTGTACTTTTGTTTGTAGGGTAGTTTTTGTATACTAAAGTTCAGAATAACCTGAAAGTAAAGGCTATCCTTTTTGGAACTGGATCAGTCTTTTAGTCCAGGTTTCTAGGCAAAGCTAATATCACAAGCCAACAAATTGCAGATGCTTCAGTGCGATGTGTACAGTTGCTCTAGTTTTATTTACTCTAGAGCAGACATGTCAAACACAAGGCCCGGGGGCCGGATGTGGCCCGCAAAGTGGTTTCATGTGGCCCGCGAAGCCATCCTGAAAACAGTGAGGGAACGGCCCCCGCTGCCTTAGCCCTGGCCCAGGCCAGCTGGGAGCCATGGACAATTTTGTGGTGGCCATCTTGGCACTTGCCCTGATGGACCATGCCTTGGCACTTGCCCTGGTCCCACCCCCTTCTGCCAGAGACCCTCAGATCTGTCCCACTCCTGCCCAGGCCCCCATAGGCACCCTTGATGCGAATGATGTAGAACTGGCCACGCCCACCTAGTAGGCCACACCCATTCCATCCATGCCCACCCAGTAGGCTGCACCCACTCTGGCCACACAAACCCCCAAGGCAACTGCAATGCTGATGCGGCCCTCAGTAAAATTGAGTTTGACACCCCTGCTCTAGAGCAAGTACAATGGGCTGATCAAGATTAGGATCAAAATATGGGACAAAGTAAGAGCCAGTTGTAGTGGTTAAGGCATTTGGTTAGGAAGCATGAGGAGGTGAGTTCTACTCCTGCCTTAAGCACAAAGCCAACTTGGTGACCTTGGGCCAGTCCATCTTTCTTAGCCCTAGAAAGAAGGTTACATGAAACCTTTTCTGAAAATCTTACCAAGAAAACTGCAGGGACAATCCAGGCAGCCACCAGGCATCAACAATGACTTGAAGGCAATCAATCAACCAATCAATCAATAAAAGGGTGAGGAAAACAAAGCAGAATAATTATTCATCCCCAGGGCTCTAATTATAGACAACAGTCATACAGTCCATGTGTGAAATGAGTAATAATTTAAAAAAATTCCATTGGCACCATAGAAATAATACACATAGACAATTGTGTAAAACAATTGTCCTTTACCATTACATTTCCCTTCTACCAAATTAGCTACTACACTCTTATACTACAGAAAATAAAATAAATGGGATAACCATATATTGAATTCATTGTGTACTTTGGCCCTAAATTCTATGTGTGAAGGAATGAAAAATTATAAACTCTTTAAACATTAAGCTGTATATCTTGGGAAGATATAAAAACACTTATTTTAAATGTTTCTTTTTTGATTCTCTCTCAAGCCATCTCTCTTTTTCACTTCTCTTCTTTACCTTCCCTCATTTTTAGCAACCATTCCTTCCTTCCCAACTTATACGTTATTTCACTAACAACTGTCTTGTATGTGTGTACAACTGTACTGGCATAGGCACACAGTTCATTTAAAAGGTGCTAGAATAGTTGAATGAGAATGTATTTGTCATGTGATAGGGCACAGTTTAATTCTAAATGTGGCCTGCACATAAGAAAGCATGATTTGGAGCCTGTGATAAATGAGTTTGTTCCGTCCGGTTCTTCAAACTCATTGCCACTGACTCATAGTTTGAACAAGCTAAGGAACAACATATAACAAATGTACTGGGAAACCATTGGATGTCTGCATGAAGCCTTGTTGATTAAATCTAGAATTCACATTTGAGTATGTGTGCATATTTACTTGGAAATTGTATGATTTAATCTATTTCCTTTCAAGTTACATTGAAAGTGGTTTTCAAACACAGTTGTGGCTAGGTACCACTGTATATTGAACCACATCAGTTTATGATCATTTGCAACAGCAGAATATGCTGGCAATGAAGAAAAAGTACAGAGGTAATTTTTCACTGGTTTTGTGTTTGCTTCTGCTGTGGTATACTGAAATGTCATGGTAACAGGATTCATGCCAAAGAGGATGCATTTCAAATACTTGATTTACAGGAAAAGAGGATATGAAGATAGTTGGGGTTTTTTCTCATAGAAGTTTCACTCACTTTCAAATCTCTTTACAGGCTTTGGAGAAAAACCAGCAGTGGATAATATATGACCAGCAACGGGAGGCTTATGTTCAGAGTCTCTTAGCAAGGATTTTTGATCTGGAACAGCAGCTAAAAACTGTCATCCAAGAGCAAGCAAAGGAAGCTAGGGCAGAAGGTATAGACTGATTATTCTCCGAACTGCATAGGATCAAAAAATTAACTTATATTGATCTGATTTCCATGTTCAAAATATTGTAGCTGTAAAAAGAGCTCTTCTGAAATCTGTATTTGTGCCACTCAGTGGTGGTATTCAAATATGTGAACAACCGGTTCTCCGTGTGGATGCAGCTTCCGGAAGTCCATTCTGGGCCTGGGAACAAAAAATTAGCTACTGGTTCTGCCGAAGTGGTGCAAATCGGCTGAATCCCACCAATGGTGCCACTGTAATTTTTAGGAGGGAGGGTGGGAGAGAAAATACATTCTGGTCATTGTTTAGATCCCAGACTCCCAATTTTATACATAGGAAAACAGCATTTGTTGATCTGGTCTGGCATGTAACACTCGCTTTTTAGAAGTTGATTTAAACATTCATATCATTCCTACTGAGTTTACAATATTTCTGAGAACAACTTCCATAGTACAGAGATGCAGGCAAGACTTCTTGATAACAAGAATTTTGGAAATTCTTCTGCTATTAGGTATTTGTTTTGTGCCTGAATAATTATTAGTATTATATTTCTTATCTATGTGATGTTTGATTAAGCATTTGTATGCCATGAGACATATTGGCATTGTGACATTAAGCACCCATTCCCTAAAATTGTCCAGAAAGATTAAAGGTGATAAAATATTAAACTTAAGTCCAGAAACATAAGGATTAGAATTCTAGAGCCATATCTCCCAGTAATTTTTTTCCTATTCCTGTTGAGAATACTTGCTCTAGAATCAAGTTCTTTCTGCTCCAAGATTTCTCCTGCATCCCGCTGTAATCACAGAGTACAGAAGAATTGTGGTAATTTTCTCCTCCCCACCTTGCCATACCACTACTGGTTTTATTTTCTCAAGCTCTGTCACTAGTTTTTAAAGATGCTTTATTGTATAGAGGAGAGGAAGGGGTTAGATTAGAACATCTCTCTGTGCCTGCATGCCTAAATTCTCTCTTCCTCTTGAATGATGGTAGAAATATGGGTGTGGACTAGAGTTTGTACTTTCACTGCAATGTCTAAGATACATTTTACAAATCTCATATCATCATAATGTGTAATTAGTGAAGGAAGGACTCTTGATAGTCAAAAATAGCATATTAGTAGGACTTTCCACTAGAACTAGAAAAGTTGTAATAATAACATATTCAAAGATGGAATGGCAGCATGGAGGAAAATGGCAACATTGGATCTTCATCACTGACATATTGAGAGGAATATTTAAAAAGTTTGTAGACTAATCTATTTGTGCTTGTTGCTTTTTAAGGTCACTAAATGAACCTTATTAGGGATTTGAACATGTTTCCAGAGGTACATCAAGCACCGTAGTACCCTTGGAATGTGCTGTAGAATTTCAGTAATATAATGTGCCATATGGAAAGCTATAAGAAGTGTCTACATCAGAATACATTTAAATAAAGTTTCCCATTTTATACACTTATATTCGTACAAAAAGAGCAGATTGTCATGCAAAACCATATTGGTTTAGAACTATAGGTACTTTATAAACAGCAGATAAAGTGATATTCTTGTTTATTTAAAGTACTGTAAGATAATTTATGTTCATTTTAGAACATATTACAAAACAAGTGCTTAATGTTGCTAGTATCTGTGAAATATCCTGCAGTTTTTAGTTAAATTTTCATATTTAGATTATTGAATGTTTTTGTTTTCAATTTTAATATTCTGTAAGCAAGAAACAAGAACATAAGACAGCGTTCCAAAACAGCATATCTTAAAATTCAGTCATTTGAAGTAACTGAATAGTATTATAGTATGGGTGGTAAATTTAAAAAAATCCCAAAAATCTAAAATGATTATGATTTCTGGGCTCACTATGAGGAGATGCCAACATGTGAGATACTATGATGCCATAATTCAGTGCTTACATCTAAAGTGCAACATGCTGGTTTGCTTCATATTTTCACATATTTGCTTCATTTTTTTCTTTTTTCTTTTGTTCTGCTCCGTGTCCCTTTGCCTTTTGGTGGAATCCTAAAAAGGAGACAAGCAGAGATATTATGAACAGATGTTGGCCACAGCAGAAAGGAATCTGGAAGCAGAAAGGCAAATTGTCTCCCAGCTACATGCTGACCGTAATGAATTGCAAAGGAAGTATGATGAAATTAAGCAAGAGGCAATAAATGCAGACGGTCTTCTGAAGCTGCAGAAGCAAACTGATATTAAGGCTCTTCAGGATGAAAACCACCTCAAAGGGCAGCTCTTGCAAAGAGTTACACATGAGCATGAAATGACCAGGAAAAAGCTGGATGAAGAAAGGAAGCGTGCACAAGCCTTCTCAGTTCAGGTCTTTGTACTGTTGCCTAGATGCTTTTTATTACAGGCTTCCCAAATTGATCCTGCAGATTGGGAATTCAGGGTATTGCAGGTTCATTCCATGTGGGTGGTGGAAGGTAGCGTTGGGATTAGTTGTGTCTGTCTAAAGACACTTTCAAGATTAAACTCCTTTCAACGGTTCTGCTAATGTGGTTAGTAGCCAGTAACAACCTGAGTGCATATCTTAACCCTGATTTTGGCAGTGAGTGAAATAAATCAGGTGGAAGGGAATTTTACAGGTAGTCCTTGATTTACAACAGTTTGTTTAGTGACCGTTCAAAGTTACGATGGCCCTGAAAAATGTGACTTATGACCATTTTTCACAGTTACAACACATCCCCATTATCATGTGATCCAAATTCAGATGCTTGGCAACTGGTTCGTACTTATGACCATTGCTGTGTCCTGAGATCATGTGATCACCTTTTGCGATCTTCTGACAAGCAAGGTCAATGGGGAAGTCAGATTCCCTTAACAATTGTGTTAAAAATTTATCAACTGCAGTGATTCACTTAACAACTGAGGCAAGGAAGGTTGTAAACGAAATGGGGCAAACCTCACTTAACAAATGTCTCACTTAACAACAGAAAGTTTGGGCTTGATTGTGGTCGTAAGTTAAGGACTATCTGTATTTGTAGCATGCACATCTTCAACCCTCTAAATATATTCATCTAACATTGCTTTAAATATCACCAAAGGTGATAACGGCATGGATACACCTGCATCTTGTCTAGGCTGGCCATTGAAGACTATCTCTGTATTTGGACAAGTATAACTGGGAAGAAATTGGGAGGCATAAGGTTTAAGAAAAGGAGACATTGCTCCTCTTCATGCTGTCATTACAGTAGTAGTAAAAGTGTAACAGAGGAAGAGCAAAATAAATCCATGAAAGTGTCTTGTATTTATTATTTAAAGTTAGAATATTTCGGACATGTGATGCGACACCCAGAAAAATACGGCATACTCCATTTAATCCTCCAGGGAAAGAGTGAGGGCAAACGAGGTCCAGGCAGAAGAAGAACATCATGGCTTCAAAATCTAAGGGACTGGTTTGGACAAAACTCAGCAGCACTTTTTCATGTGGGTGCTGATAAAAACAGGATCGCCAACATGATCACCAACGTCCAATAACGGATATGGCACAACAAGAAGAAGAAGATTTATTATTTGGAAGCTTTTTATGTATTGATTGTCACATAATCTCCTCTTCTATTTTACAGGTTGAAGTGCTCCACAAGTCTTTGATAAAACAGCAGGAAGAACAGTCAAGAATAGCAGCTTTGGAACAACAGGTACTAAATTATGCTCTCTCACACGTAGCATAGATCTTTGTGACTAATATCCCCCACTCTAATCTTCATTTTAATATCAAAAATTTGTCCTAATTTAGAAATAGTCTACATTTCTATGGTCCAGAAATCATAACGTTATTAATGTAATTTGTCATAGTGTCTGCTCATATTTAAGCTTTGAACAGAATATGAATTTGAAATTCATTCAGGATTAATTGTATCCTCTTTGTAGTCTTTACAAGTCTTTACTTCTTTTATCAAACTATTCTTTTTATCTATAAAAAGTTAACATTTATTTTGTATATAGGCATATATTTAAATGGAATGTGTAAAAAACAGGAGATCATTTCATTTTTCATCCAGTTCTTTTCTTCTAGATACAGTCATGCACATCAGACTTTGAGAATGAAAAACTAGATCGCCAGAACCTGCAAATCCAGTTGAACAAAGTTCTTAAGGAACTACGGAAGGCAAGAGACCAAATTACTCGTCTTGAGCCCTCAGTAAGTATTGATGGATTAAGACTGAATCTTTACTAGAGCTGTGCAGAGAGCCAGCATGAAAGGCAAAATAACAGTTACCCTGTGATAAAATGGGCGGCCAATAAATTGGATGGATGGGAAAGGAAAGGAAGATTTGCAGCAGGTATACATGTACTTCTAGCATCTGTCAGGAACACCATAACCCAAATGAGTCTTTTTCTGAGATATGATAGTTGTTCAGTCTTGAGGAAAGGCTGAATATGACTCTGAATCACATTTCGCTCTTCAAATCTAGACCTGCACAATCCCAAGACATCCTTTTCATTTTCCACATATAGCATGTATATTGAACTCCAATTGTTGATGAGTTTGTATTTTATTTGCCAGATGTAATTGTTTTTTTATAACAATTTCACACAAGCTGTTGCAACTATTTGATGCTGTACAGACTCCTCTGAGAACCTTTGCCTTTGGTTTTAAAACAGCATCTTGTGGGGAATTTAGAAACATTGTAGATAATATCAAAACAGACTTTTCCTGATATAAAATTTTAATGTCTTTTTTTTCTTTATACATCACTAGATTCTGTTACAATCCAGTCAGATATCTTTTTTAAATTATATTTAGATATTTGACTCCTAAAAGAAATACCGTTGGCAAGCATTATAAATTATATACTATCTTATTTAAATGCAACAGTTTTTTTTCCAGAAGCTTCCAGAACGTGGTGGATGTTTAGAAGTCTTAGACAACTTCCACGCTGCTTTTGAAGACAAGTTGATGATACAAGACAAACGTTCTTTACCAAAACGTATAAGCCTTCTGGATGAAAGTTTCCTGGAGTGTCCAAAATGTAAAACCCAATATCCTACAAGCCAGCATAGGGAATTATTAGCTCACATTGATTTCTGTACAGTATAAGTCCTAGAGTAGACCTGTAGCTCTGTCTCTATACACCCATGCAATTTAACGGAAAATAATAGCTTTTTAAAAACAACTCATGAAGATGCTAAAGAACTACAGTTCATATTTCAACCAAACATTTGTGCTGTAATTTAATGTTTATGAAGGACCAGGAAGTAAACAGCTTTGTGCATGGCATCTTCAGTTCTGAACTACTGTCCCAAATTCAGCACATCGGGCCGTGTCTTGACTATTGCTTCCATTTTGTTTAAGATATGCTCTCATTTGCACTTGTTATCCCTGAGCTGAAAGCTTAGGGATATAACTTATCAGGGAACCTGTATAAGGAAATGCTTTTTAAAATAATAAAATGGAATCGGCTAGGCCACCAATCCTCTACATACGTCTTTTTTAATATTAGCAATGACTGTACATGAAGTTGCTTGTTATTCCCTCTTGAATTTACTATATCCCCTCTGCCATTCTTTTGTTTGTAACTTCTACTGTACTATTTCTTCAGTGTGATTTGACCTGTAATCAAGCTTCCCAGAATATGATTGGATTGTATCCCCTTCTTTAGGAAACACTGTATCTTGGTGGCTTGTAAAACTACTACTAAACGAGATAAGAACAATATTTTGTAACCACCACACAGATATTTCACATCAATTTGAAAGCAATTACTGTTACCATAATCATAGGGTGCAGGTAGCCCTTGACTTACGACTGTCCATCAAAATTGTAAGTCATAATGGTCATAAAGTCGACTTTATGACCTTTTTGGGGATGGTTGCTCCAGGCATATTAAATGACTGCTGTGGTCGTTAAGTGAACCAATGGTTCGTTATGAGTGCGGTTTCCCCCCAAAACCAGGAGTGAATGCTGGTTTTCTGCAAAACTGTCATAAAATGCAGCTCTGTCACCCTGTGGCACTGCAAGTGGCCATAAAGGCGACCAGGTTGTTGAACTCCCAAGTCTGATCATGTGGCTGTAGAGGGACTTGATCATCGGACTTTGAATCTGGAACTGTAAGTAGCTCCTGGGGTAGGTCTATCATAACTGAACAGTTGCAAGTTGAGGACTACCTATAATTATGCAAATTTTGTGGAAAGTTCCTGTATGCCAAGGAGACATGGATAAAATGAAAAGGAGAAAGTGGTCTTGGGTCTTAGTTCTCTCTGTGCTATAGAATAATTATGAACATCAGAGAGTCAGGATCATACCTGAAAACTACTCTGTTCTGTATTAATCATCTGCTATGGAAAATATGTTTTTCTATAAATTCCACCACATTATCCTGCTAGTGGAGGGGAAAAGATTAATGAAATTAATGTTTCATAAAGGAAGACAATGATAAATAACAATGATAACCGTTTAATTTCATTTTTCTGAAACTTTTACCCACAATTTCTGAAAATTGAGGTTACTGTTGCCTTTTGGGAAGGAGGCACAGGATCCCTTTGAGTCAATCTTAATTCCTGGCAAGGTTTTTTGGAAGTTAGAAGGGATCTTGGAGGTTGTCTAATCCAACCCCCTGCTCAAGCAGAAGACAATCTGTTCGATTGGTTGATGGCTCTCACCATTAGGAAATTTGTCCTTAGTTCTAAATTCCTTCTCTCCTTGGTTAGTTTCCATCCATTGTTTCTAGTCTTGCCTTTTGGTGCTTTGGAAAATAGTTTTACCCCCCCCCCTCACCTCACCCCGCAAATATTGGAACTCTGCTATCACATCTCCTCTAGTCCTTTTCATATCCTTAGACTAGACATATCCAATTCCTATAATCATTCTTCATATGTTTTAGTTTCCAGCCACCTAATCATTCTCATTGCTCTTCTTTGCATTCTTTCCAGAGTCTCAATCTCTTTTTTATATTGTGATGACCAGAACTGGAGGCAGTATTCCAAGTGTGGTCTTACTAAGGCTTTGTAAAGCGGTACTAGAACTTCGCGTGATCTTGATTCTATCCCTCTATTAATGCAGCTTAGGTTTCATTGGCTTTTTTGGTTGCTGCTGCACACTGTTGGTTCATATTTAAATGATTGTCCATTGGGACTCCAAGATCCCTTTCACAGTTACTGGCATTAAGCCAAGTTTCACCTAGCCCATACCTATACAGTTGTTTTTTCTTGCCTAAGTGTAAAACCTTACTTTTATCTACACTGAATTTCATTTTGTTAGATAGGGCCCAGTGTTCAAGTCTGTCGAGAACTTTTTGGATCTTGAGCTTCTCTCCTAGGATGTTGGCTATTCCTGCCAGCATAGTGTCATTTGCTGTGTCCTGAGATCATGTGATCACCTTTTGCGATCTTATGACAAGCAAGGTCAATGGGGAAGTCAAATTCCCTTAACAATTGTGTTAAAAATTTATCAGCTGCAGTGATTCACTTAACAACTGAGGCAAGGATGTAGTTCCATTGAGGAGTACATGTTGAGTACAATTTGTCAGCCAGTTACAAACCCATCTGGTGGTGTTGCTGTCTATTCCACATTTTTCTAGCTTGCCAAGAAGTAGGTTGTGGTCTACATTATCGAATGTTTTACTAAAACAGAAGTATACTATGTCCACAGCATTTCGCTGATCCACTAATTTAGTCACTTTGTCGGAGAATGAAAAAAGATTTGTTTGGCATGATCTGCTTTTGACAAACCCATGTTGGCTTCTGGTTATAACTTTGTTTGCTTCTAGGTGTTCACAGATTTGTTGCTTGATTATCTTTTCCAAGTTCTTCCCAGGTATTGATGTCAGGCAGATTGATCTGTAATTTCCTGGATCTGTTTTTCTCCCCTTTTTTTGATGAAGGGAACTACATTGTCTCTTTTCCAGTCCTCAGGTAGTTCCCTGGTGCTCCAAAAACTTTGAAGGATATATTTCAATGATTCTGAAATTACATCTGCCAGTACTTTCAGAACTCTGGGGTGTAGTCCATCAGGACCTGGTGATTTCAATCTGTCCAGAGCCGAAAGATGTTCTCTTGTATCTCCATATTTTAATTTGCATTTCTAACCCATCATTTATGGTTCTGTTTTTGGTAAGTTGCGTAGTGTTTTCTTTTTGCATGAAGACAGATGCAAAATATGAATTAAGTACTTCTTCTTTCTCTCTGCTGCCTGTTACTTTTTTTGCTATCTCTTATTAGTGGGTCGATTGTTTCAGGTGTTGCTGAGGATAGTCGGAATGTAAACTTCCCTCCCAAGATTCCAGGGCAAGAAAGGCTGGTTTGGAGAAGACTTAATTTTAATCCATGGTGATCCAATAGACAGGTTTCCTATTTCTTTGCTAATCTAATCATTCTGAATGGTAAGAGGATGATTCCTGTGAAAGCCATTCTAATGCTGCAGCAGGTTTTGATAGGCAGACAAGTGTTGCCATTGCCAGCTGGTGATCACTCATCTGAAGGCAGGGAAAGCAAAGAATGTTTGATGGTTGAGAATTGTGCACACAGGTCATAATGGGCAAGGTGTTCTGGAAATGGACTGGAGAAGCAAGACCATATTGATTACTTATGGACTTCTCAGCAGCTTTTGATTTCATAGTTTGTTAAGTTTTTCTAGGTAGGTTTCCTAGACCAGATATTCAGGACAGGATCTTTTAAGGGGCTGTTTTATTGGGGGGGGGGGGAGGACCAGGCAATTTCAGAATATAAGGTAGAAACCTTGTTCTGTTCAGTATTCAGCACTCATGAAAATGCTGAGTGACATCTGAAGGTTTATACCCGAGTCCTCAACTTGCTAACCTACCTCTATTTCTTCTTGATAGGTAATACAACACAAGTATTACATTTGGGTCCAAAATCAGTAATATGCTGGATGAGGGCCAATAAACTTGAATTCAAACAAAATAAAACTACTCTTCATGAAGCAATAGTTTGTTCAAAGAGTGTTCGGGTCTTCTGGATGCAGGGTAACCCCCTCCCTGAAGGATCAGTCTTACGGTCTGAAAGTGCACATCCATCTGGCTTTGCCAGTAGACAGCCAAGCATCATTTAGGATATGGAGCCTCTTAGCCCCTGAGGTCACCCCTTCATAGGGATCAGCAAGAGTGAAAGCAATGAGCTGAACCATAAAATATGCATAGTCTCATGCAAATGCCATGACTTATGTATTCATATTAGACACTGAGATGCAGGTACGTTATTGCGGCATTTATGTGATGATGTCACTGTCATATCATTTTGGTGTTATGATTTGCTGCAGATACTGCTGCTCTCATAGGCAACAATAACTTGACCATCTCCAGAAGGAGTACTTTGAAGCATACAAAAATGGGCGTGAATTGAAAAAGGCAGTACTGTGATTATAAAACAGGCTCTGGGAAAATCTTTGCTTGTCCTTAAACAACATCATTAGCTTCCAAGCGATTACAAAGAGAATTCTACTGTTATCTCTAAAGCCTTCCAAGTATTCTGGCAGAAGCAGCGATTCACTCTTCCATTAGGTTGCCTAATGGGCACCAGGGACCAGTTCCGCAGAGAGAGGTTTTTCCATGGACCGGAGAGTGTGTGGTTTTGTGTGCTGCTTGCATCCCACGGATGGGGCTTTGCTTGTTTGTGCGGACCGGTTGCTGGCATGCTGCGGCTCCTGATATAGCCCATCTTCTGAGTCCTTCTCAGTCCTCTCTCTGAAATGAACTGTGAAATAACTTGATCAACAATTTTGTCACTTATGAAATCCCTTTAGGCAATTTCCCTTCCTCCATCACAGGAGGCCTGCATATTTGAACATCTTTTCTGCGTCAAACAAAGCCTTTTAATCACTGCTGATGATTTCAGTGCGTGATTTCAATATCTTTTATTACTCTATTTTTACATGGGTAAGATATTCTGAGGATATGTCTACTTTAGGCATATACATTTTTAGAACAAAAATACAGCACAAGTGGGAAATCACTTAATCCTTAATGGAAAGATTAAGTAGGGCAGTGAGGTAAACATATCTCTCTTAATACTAAAGTCATTCTGCAAGTAATTGTTGATTCAGCTTGACTGAACAACTGAGTCTCATAAATTTATTGCTCATTACTTTTTAAAAATACATAATTGAATGCATCTCTCTATTAGAACATTCCGCCCATCAGCATTATCCATTACAGATCCCAACTTAAATCTAGTTGAACCAGTTTATAGTTGTTAATGTTTTTCCCTCACCCACACAGGGAATTACTAAAATGTGTCCTTGCTGAATTTAGTTAAACTGAAGTCCTCAAAATCATCAACTGTTAGGCTTCAAAGCTAAGCTGTTCCTTACCTCTTCTGCAAAAACAACGCAAGGACTTTGAAGAAGAGTGGAACATAATCAAATGATAAGGGAAAAATAGTGACTTGTCTTCCAGGTAAACTTACTGTAGCTGAAACACCTGTT